CAGCGCCAGGAATGGCACAGGCCCTCGGACACACGAGTTAAGGGAAGAGTAGAATCATCAAGTAGGGTTTTTACCTGTAATTACTGTTGCTGTTACCTGATATTAGCTCAGCTATGTGGGTTGGGGAGGAGTGGGCAGCAAATCAGCCCACTGAGCCTCGCCCCATCTGTCCCTAAAGGGAACAGCCATGGGACCTGGGGAACACGGTGTGAAAACCACAGAGGAGGGAGGCGGCCATCAGGCTTTCGCCGTTTCTAAGGCAGTGATTCTACACAAGAGGGAAGTGGGAGGCAGGCGAAACTCCCTGACCAGCTCTAAAATTTACCCCTGCCCCAGGCAGAAGCCTGAGAACCTTTCTTATGGCAAAAAGGCACCCGCTAAAACCCTACGTCTGACCGAGCCGCTCCTCAGGGCAGGCTGCACGGCTCTGAGCGGTCCAGGCCTGGACTCCCCTCGACGCCCTTTCACCCTGCCCCTGCACCTCACCAAGCTCCATCCTCCCTGCGACCTTTGTACTGTGGTCCCCCCACACCTCAAGGCTGTTTCTTCTTATATCTCCTTGTCAAACAATGATCAGCTCAGAGACCTTCTTGACCACCCAGCTAAAAAAAAGCACCACTTTCCCCCAAAATATAAATTAAAAATTATAAAATTAAAAAAGCACCAGTCACACCTGATTTTAATTCACTGCCTCGGCCCTCTCTTTAACTTGCCCCTCATTAATTCACCCAGTTTAGGGCTTGTCTCCCTCAGCCCCACAGGGGTAGGGCCCTTGTCAAATGCACCCCAGTTTCCCCAGCAGCCGCAGCAATGCCAGGTACATGGTAGGTGCTCAGTAAATGGTGGTGGATGAACAAAAACCTTTTCTCAGCCCTGAAACGCCTTCAGGATCAAATCCAAGCTTCCCGACCAGGCCCCACGCAGCCTGGCCTTGACTCCATGAGCACTTCTCCAACTCTCTCTTCCCATCCTTCCGCCTCGCTGCCTTCAAAAGCTCTGTCCCTCACCTGGATCAAGGCCATTCCCACCACTCCTAGGGGCTGTGGTGGAAATTCAATAAAAACACGTATAGGAGGAGGGGTTAGCAGAAGGTGAAATCTGGAAAGGAGCTGGAATTTTTACCTCAGAGGGGCTCGAGGCAACACTGTGTGGGAGAGGGAGGGGACCTGGGTGCTGCATTTGCCAGTTTTTATTTGATTTTACGTCCCTCTCACTCTTAACCCTCACTTAGAAAATGGAGATGCTAATTTCGGCCCTGCACCCTTCTGGCATTAACTGACAAGAATCTGTAACCTGGAAAAGGCCTTCAAAATTCTAGCAGAAATAGTAAGAATTATAATTGCTAAGATATCCTACGGCTCACCATGTGTCAAGTACTCTTCTTAAATACAGGGAAAAGCAGGCAATGTTTACTGTAGGCTCACTGTTATGCCTGCCCAGTTATAAATGCTTCCACAAATTAACCCATTTAACACTTACAACAACCTATCAGGGAGAATTATCGTCAGACCATGACACAGATGACGAACTGGGCTCAGAAGGGTTGAGAAACCTGCTTAAGGTCACACAGCCTGCAAGTGGAAGGGCTGGATTTGAACCCTGTCCTCTGAATCACTTCAACGCAGCTCTTTTCAGAGGTTAGACACCAGGACATCAGATTCCTGAATCCTGGCTGGGCCGGGCCGGGCCGGGCAGCTGGAAAGCAGGACACCCAAGAGGACTGGGGGTGGGGGGGTGGATGCCCTTGGGACTGCTGACTGAGCATTTACAAAGTGCCAGGCACCATTCGAGAAGCTTCTCATAAATTAACCCAATCTATCCCCACAAAAGCCCAAAGTGGGTGCATTCTGAGCCCATTACAGAGATGAACACTGTGGCCCAAGATCACACAGCCAGGTGTGAAAGTGTCAGAACGTGCATGCATGTCCGCTACCCCATCTTCACGCAGGGACCTCTAACATCGCTCCCCTGGTAGCCATGTCACCACCTGCCATACTGCTCTTACTGTCTTCTCCTGGTTCCCAGCACACACTCCACCCCAGGTTCACAGATGCCCTGGCTCGACTCTGAGGATGGACCAAGTTTCATCGGCAAGCCCAGAACTACTGGACGGGCTACGGGCAGATGTGCTCACAGCAGCCCTAGGCTCTGGAGATGAGGGAAAGGAAAGGCCCACGGGTGCAGCTGGCAGGGTCCAGGGCAGGGGCTTCAAAGTGCCAGAAACCTACTCCAGCTTGGGACTCAGTGAGCCAGGAGCACATGACACCAGGGACAAGCTGACATGCATTCAAACCCCAGTCTGACCGTCTAGGTCTCACAGACGTAGGGCAAGGCAATTCTTCCTCTGAGACCCAATTTCTGACTGCAAAATGGATAGAAACACCACTCCCGGGTATGAATAAACCACTTTCTCACTGAAAAGATGTTCACTCTGAGGACAAACAGGGCCAGGGGTTCACATCTCAGCTCCAACACCTCTCTGGCTGTGAGACCTGGGGCAAATCACTCCACATCACGGCATATATCTGTTTCCGCATCTGTAAAACTGGTAGCACATTTCTCTTTGCCTCGAAGAGGCCTAGAAAATGAGCACGATCATACCTACCCCATAGAGATCTTCTGAGATTTAAATAAGGTCATGTGTGTAAAATGCCTGTCACATGCCTGATATATGGTAACCGTCCAATAAACACTGGCTATTCACTAACTCTGGAAATGATTTGCCTCTCTGCCTCAGTTTCCCCTTCTAAAACAGATCATGACAACAATACCTACAGTTCTGGGATGTAAGCATTCAGCAAGTTAATCTATGAGAATCATTCTGAACAGTGTGTGGCACAAAGAATGCACTCAGTAAATGCCAGCCATCAATCTCATGATTACTGTTTTTATTGCTGCTGTTAACCCCATCAGGCAAACCCTCTAAAACTGGCAGAAGGAGATCAGAGGAACAAACTCCTAGTGGAGAAAAATTCTACAGAGCCACCAGGGCCTTACAGAGACTCAGGGACCTTTATTTCCAGGAAGCGCAACCCATAGAAGCCAGTCAGCTTGGAAGCTAATGCTGTAGACCAGAAGTGACCATCTGTCCCCTTCTGATCACATCACCAGCACACGTTAGCTGGGTCAGTCATGGACTGCAGCCAGCCCTCCAGGAACTCCAGACCCAAGGCAAAGGTTACTGGGCAAGCCAAGGTCACAAGCTGGCCTGGAGTGTAGGGGCAGTGGCCTCAAGTCTGGGGGCTGGCTGCTCCAAGCACCCACCCAGAGGCCACAGTGAGAAACCAGATCTGTGGGAATCTGGTAGTCCCAAATCCTTCAGAGCAGTCTTCCTCCCTACGTCAGGCTGGGCCAGGGGCACCTCCCAACCAAGTCCCCTTGGCCTATGCAAAGAGGAACAGCTGGGAAAACAGTGATCAGCCTCTCTGCCGCCCAATGGTAAGGCCAACTGTTATCACCTGGTGCGGAGCATAAACATGATGGGCAGCTGGACTGCTATCCAGGGAGACACAAACAGCCTCAAGAACGGAGGGGCCTGCGGTGGGTGGTGGCTGGCCTCTTCACACCCACCAGCAATCAAGGTCAGGTCCCATTAAGCTGGGACCGAACTCCCTGGGCTTCTCTGGGAGGGGAAGAGGGGACAAGGTTGAATGGCAGCCCATGGAGGACCTAATTACTCCAGTCCAAGCCTCTTGCTGAGCCCAAGAGGCCTCCAAATCAGAGGAAAGGGGTCTTCAGAATCTCAAGGATCAAGCTGTCCCGGCCACCTTGCTCTGGGAGAGAAGTGTCCCTCCAAACACTCCTTCCTCCCACATCTTAAGTAGGACCAAGGGCACAGTTCCTTAAACCCAAGCTCACTACCCTTTACCCTAAATGGAACAGAAAGCTCAAAAAACTTCTAACAGTGGCTTCTAAGGGATCTCCCCCTCCCCAAGGAAAGAACTTGCCACAGAAGTGTCCACACAGCCTAATATGAAAGGGTTCTGAGATAGACAGCAGTCCAGTGTCCATCCAGTTTCCCCAAAGTCATTAAATTCAATAAAGCGTGATCCTCCAGCTCAGTGTAAATCCCAAGCCCCACCCAACAAACACAGGAGGCAGAAGCCCCTCCTCATCACTCACATTACAGCCCTCCCAAAATACTCCCCCTAAACACCCACTTTGGCCTGTCCCATCCCTCAAAGATGATAAACTTTACAGTCCTTTGATGTAGCGCTCTCTACGTTCTAAGGATGGCTCCCCCCCAGCACCTCAGTGGTATAACCCAGACAGCGCTACCCCGGCCGCACTTGGTACGGCTCCCTCCCCAGAAGCGCACCCCCCCCCACCTCGCAACGCGTTATAGGAACTGCTCTCTCGGCCCCGAATAGGTACAGCCCCCTACACTTGGTAAGGCGCGCCACCTCAATGGCTTAGCGCTCGCCCACCAAGCGCGCTCTCCCTTCACACCCACGGGTTCAGCCCCCCGCCTGCGCATGCTGGGGTCCGCACCCCCAGCCCTTCAGTGGTTAGGTCCTCGCA